ATCATGAACCCTTCCATGACTTTTGTTTATTTTTTCCATGAATATTATCAAAATCTTTCCTTTTAGTTTTATTTTTTAATTCATTTGGTGTGCTATTACAATAAAGTAAATGTTTAATCATGGAAAGAGGTCATTCATCAAAAGCATGTTGACAATAATTACAAGAAGCTATATAATGCTTGCTTGTTATTGTTATTTTTTCTTTCTTGTGACTTTTTAACAATAAAATGCTGTGGTCATTTAAAAAAATTTATTATTTTGTACAACAATGGTATAAACATGGTATAAAAGCAGTAATGGTATATAACATGGTATATAACGGGTATATAACAGGGTATAAACTAGGTTGTTATAAACCCGCCCATCACTAGCAGACGCTTCTTTCATGGCTTCAGAATCTAAACAGGTTGTTGATTACAAAAAGCCAGCTGTCTCTTGATGACAACTTGCCATTGCTGGCTTCCAACAGGCCTAACCCTGCTGCAGACATTTTTGTACTCAACAATCCTCTTCCTTATTCTGTGCAGTAAAATCAGCCGGCTGCCTCTTGATGACAACTCGCCATTGCTGGCTTCCGACAGGCCTAACCCTGCTGCAGACGCTTCTTTCATGGCTTCAGAATTAGGGTTTATAAAGAGTGTAAGTAAATATTCAATAAACTTACACAATTAATTTCCAGTGAAAGATATTGGTATGTATTGATAATAATAAGGAGCAAAGTACACAAAATTATACAAAAAATTTTTTTTCAAGAGTTGCTCAATAATGGTGGTAAGATCGGATCCAGATGTAATGAAATGTGTGTTCAAGAAGCTTGAGTACAGTGAATATAGATGTTTTGAATAGAAATATATATAGAAATTCTAAAAACATTTGAAATGTTACACTGATTTTTTATCTCATCAGTGCATATAATTATTATCAGTTGTGTGACATGTCACATCAAATTATTTTCTATATTAATATGTGAAACAAATTTTTAAACGAAAACGTGACAGTGAGCTTTGTGACTTTTACTCACACAACGACATCATTCAGGTCAAGACAATAGTCTATTTTATTAATTCAAAAAAATACAAATTGGATGGCCGTCCCCCCAATTAACTGCTTCCTAGTCATAGATAAAGATTTTTTAACAAGAAACAATATTAAACTATCTTTTGAATTATTGGATAGACCACCATTATACAATTATGCCAAGTTTACTACAACATTGCGCCTATACATGAAGTCGAAACTATTTCGACCATTTGCAGATCTGGTCGAAATAGGGTCGAAACATTTCGACTTTGGGGTTTTAATTTCGACTTCATGTATAATTGCGCCTATTATATTGTATCAATGAGGATTTAAAAACCATGGTGGATAGATATACAGATAATAAAATTGGCCATTTTAGAAAAGACCTAGTAGATTTTATTTTAAATTATTCGGCATCAATTAGAAAACTTAAAAAAATTTAGACTATGAATGGATAGTCAAACATCATAGATTTGAATATTGTTTCCAGAATCTTTATGAATTAACTTATCATGTTTCATGTGGAACTTTTCAGTTACTTGATAAATTAGCTAATATCAACAAAAACATACAAACTTTAGAAATAGTTTTTTTATCAACTAATAATTATATTGAAGAGCATGGTTTATCTAGATTAATTAAAGAGCAAAATCAAATTAAGAAATTAAGCTTCCTTTCACCTAAGAGATCAGATTCATCAAAAGATCTTGAGTAATTTTAATTGTTTTGGAGAAAATGATTTAAATTCCTTAATACAAACTTTTCAAAACTTAGAATCATTAGAATTATCATATTGCAGTGCTATAAATTTGAAATCAACTTTACTTTCAAAACTTAAAGAAGTATGTTTAGATGTCAGTTCCATGTTATTTTTATCGGAAGTCATAAAAAATAATGGTGAAAATTTTAAAAGTTTGGCTATCTATAATGATAAAAGTACTGAAATTATTGAATTGATTGGAAAATATTGTCAAAATATAAGATATTTATCAATTAGATATGGAAATGAAATAGATGAACAATTATCACACATATTCATTCAATAACTGCAATGAATCAAAAACTATCAGGATTTCCGCATCTGATGATATTATTGGTGTGGATGGATTATTGTCAATTTTAAGTCAGTCCTACCAAAAAATTTAAATACTACAGTCGAATCCTCGTTTCAACGGATTTTATATTTAAATCGCGTTTCAACGGACAACGGATTTTTTGGTAGGATTTTAGTAATAAGTACTAATCGCGTTACAACGGATTCACGTGATATAGATTTTATACATTACTATGTTAAGATTAATTCATTGCTAAATAATAATATAAACAAATTGAATAATTCTCATGAATAATTCTCACATTACTATTACTAAATAATAATATTAATCAAAATTTTCCATATTTCTAAATAATGATTTTACACAAATAATTAAACACACATTACTAAATAATAATATTAATCAAATTTTTCATATTTCTAAATAATGATTTTACACGAATAATTAAACACACATCACTAAATAATAATATTAATCAAATTTTCCATATTTCTAAATTGATAATAAATAAATATCTTCTAATAATTCTACATAATCAACATTTTCTTTGATTTCTTTAAATTAATAAATCTCTAAATTCTACGAAATTAAAATGTCTCAACAACTATTTTCTTCTTCCAAAAATGTGAAAAAGCTTTTGAAACTGCTTTTAATTTTCTTGAACAAAATGAATTAAAAGCTTTAAAATCATTGAAAAAAAAAAACAATAAAATCATATAGTATTCAAAATTCAATACAAACAAACGTTACTAGTTTTTTCAGTAAATAATTGACGGGTCTGGTACGTTTCCCCGACAGGACGTTTCACCGACACCGTTTCCCCGACAGGACGTTTCCCCGACAGGACATTTCTCCGACAAGATTTTGTTAACTATATTTAATATTAATTGGCTAATAAATGGCCTAACCGACTTAAACAGCTTAGTCGCCTAATGAATGGGTTAATAGACTTAAATGGTTTGATAAACTTAGCCGGCTATGGCATGGCAGGGAAACAAATAAATATTGTAATACAAAATGTAATTGTCGGGAAACGTCCTGTCGGGGAAACGTCCTGTCGGGAAACGTCCTGTCGGGAAACGGTTGTCGGGGAAACGTCTAGGTACCATAATTGACTATTAATTAGCATTTAATTTTTTGTAAATTATATCAAGTATTGTATTAAGTATTATTTATTATATTTAAATCACAAAAAAAAATTTACTATTATTAAATTTTCCTGTTGATCCTGTAGATCATTATCTCGTTTCAACGGATTTAGGTGATCAGTCCCATAGATCCGTTGAAACGAGGTTTGACTGTATAATTTTTGAAGACAAGATAACTGATATGGATACCAACCATTTCATTGGATTAAATTTATTCCATAATTTTTATTGTGTAATCTAAAAAAAAAAATAAAATTCAACAGAAAAAGTAGACTGTGTTAAATACAAGATGTATGACGACATACGAAGCTTCCAAAGCAAGTTTGTAAAGTAAACTGATGAACGTTTATCAATTATTGAATAGATTGTATCGAGATAAGTGTTAAAAGTCAAGATCTATGAATCTGTTTGCAAAATATATTTAATGAACGCTTTATCAATTATTCAAATAATTATATAGGCGTGCTTGGTAGAAGTAAGTGTTAAAGTCAAGATCTATTTGCAAATCAAGTTTCCAAAATGAACGTTTATTATTATAGGC